GAAGCGAATCATGACTGCAGCCCTGGCCATATAAGGAGTTGTTGTGCACAGAGAGCGCTCACCCACGGGGGGGTGGAAGGCAGAAACCAGCGCCATCTTGTAGGCGCGGTCCTTCGCAGCTCTCCACACAGAGACCTTAGTTAGACGCTACTTTCAGAATTCTTCACAGAAGTAACTTTAAATAGATAGCAATGCATACATTTTAAATAGGTGGGAGATACAGATTTCAAATATATAAAATAAAGATAAGCAAATATATGAGAAATTTTTCAATTGCTAAATATACTCACAGTTTTTTCATTATTTTCAAAAGCTTCTCTGGCTTCTTCAAATGTGCAAACTTCTTCGTTGCACTCACGTTCAATATTGCCCTGTCTGATTTCTTCAGGAAATGTATTGGCTCTTGGGTAGCGTTTTAATACTGAATTGGCCTTTTCTCCTGTGAGGAAAACTAAAAAGAGATATAATAATAAGCACAAAATTGTAATAAAAATCTCATAGCAAAGGTTAATATACATGATGAAAATCGCCAGGTACTCTTTAGAAAATATAGGCAGCATCCTAAACCTCTTTCCATGAGTCAGAAGCAAAGTAGCACTTAGCTACAAATGACTGCTTCTGTCCCCTCCCTCATCATATGAGAATGTCCTTTCAGTTGCAGTTGCCTTGGGCAGGGACACTGACATAATTTACCATGTTATGTTCAGACTTTAGCACATTCCTGCCAATGATGAGTGTTTAAATATAGTAATAATGATAGCACTACTTATATTCATTACTGTAAGTGGATATCCTAAGACGTTCTGCTGTTGGATAGCAGCAATCAAATCAAAACCCAGTCTCTCCACTATGAGTCTTTGTCCTTCTAGCTAAAAATAAGTAAAACTCCAATTGACCAAATAATAAACACTCAGAGAATTCGTATGTGTTTTATTTCTTTTTCTTTTTATTTTTTTTTTTGGAGACAGGATCTCGCTATACTGCAGTTCAGACTGGCCTTGAGCTCAATTTGTAATCCACGATAGTCTCCATCTTAAAACAATCCTTCCTGCCTCAGCCTCCCCAGTGCTAAGATTACAGGCATGCACCACTATGCCCGACTGAGAATTCTGACTTGTAAAAATAATGACAAAATAACATCAAGCAGCTAAGATAAATCTGGCTATAATTTTTACCAGTGAAACACTAACAGAAAATTTTGTTGCATATGCAGATGTAGTAATTATAGTTTAGTGGCACTTTAATATAATCCATCTCGTTTAACCATACTTAAGCAAAAACTTTTACTTGTTTATAGAAACACACTATGTAAACATTTAAGATGCACTTATGTAATCCCACAAAGTAAATTAGGAAATAGATATATGTACTGATATATCACATATTTTATTATTATGATATATAAATATACTTTAAGTTCTACTGCATTTAATGTTTTTCTAATGGACTTTCTTGCTTGGAAACATAAATATAAAGCAACTAGAATTTAACCTCTGCTAATACAAAAATATATTCTAATTTTATAGATTTCTAACATGGAAGAAGACAATACAGATCTTTTAAGATAGTAAAATAAGCAGCTTCATTTTTCAAAAAATATTTGGAAGCAAATACAAAATAATTAAGTATATAAAATTAATAATGACAAATCTCAAACTCATGCAAATCTTGGGTTGCATGAACAGGTATACTCTGTTCTGCTTTGGGGACTAGGTGCCCATAAGATAGCCTCTGTTTCTTTTTTGTAACCTACAAGGGCTAGAAGTTTCCTAAAGAGGAGGCTGGATAGGCCAGAAGCCATAAAAAGACCTTGTAATTGAAAATTTTCACTTGGGAATATGTGACTCAGACAGAAGAAAGACCTCTAAAAGTAGAGCTCTACAAATGCTGTGTTTTATTTTTTTGAGCTATTGCATAAAGATACTTGCATAATGGAATCTAGAAACAAGGCACACTCATTCTCTCATTCTCTTCTCCATTCAATTTCTTTTCCACTTAGAATTGCAAAATTTTCTATATGTCTCCAACATATATCTGTGATTTGTACATGGGTAGCTTAGGGAGCAATTTTGGAAACTCCTCTACCCTTTGCCATGGAAGAGCAAGCAGGAGATAGACAGGTGCAGATTCAGGGCCTGGAAGGCATCTTGCATAAGTCCTTCTGCCTTCTCTCAGAAAACCTCCAGTACTCCATAATTCCAAGATCTAACTGCCACCAAGCTACAGAGAGGAAACAGCCACACGTGGTAACAATTTGGGCCCAGGAAAAAAGTTAGTATGTCACAGCAAACTAAAGTCACAAAGATCAGGAGTAATACTTCAAGGGTGATTTGGCATACATAAGTCAATAAATGTAATATACTACATAAATATAATCAAGGATGAAAAAATCAATCTTCTCAATAGATGGAGAAAAAAAGTCTGACAAAATCCAACTTCCTTTCATGATAGAAAAACTCTGATGAAAATACGTATATGCTGGGGAGATAGCTCAGTGGAATAAGCACTTGCCTGGCAAGCACAGGGTCATGAGTTCAATCCCTGGTACCAGAAATATAT